GCATGGAAAAGGCATAAAGGACCTTCTACATGTGCAGATAATTTGTCACCTCCCTCTAGCCAGTCTTATCCCTTAAAGGCAATCGTCCTCACATACTGTTAAGACAGTCATTTCTGCGGCTTTTCATATTTCTAAAGGTTGGCACAAAATATCACAATCCTTGGTGTAACTTAGGGGCATATGCCTCCTGCCACTAAAAATCCATGGTATGAGATGGTACTAAAAAAAGAAAAGGGAGACCGGAATGACTATTTCCGGCTTATTAGCCGTCATCATCCAGTCATACCTAACCCGAAGTGTGGATCACTTGATATCCGACCCCAGGATTTTCGGCCAGGGAGCCCGACACTCTACGGTTGACCCACGACATCTTGCACGTGATGCCCATTCTTGCTTATGTTCTGCAGTCTTTGACATCCAAGGTCATTAGACTGCTCATACAGACAAATAAGACAATGCACAGAATTGTGTCAAATGAACCCAACTCCCCCAACGTCCTCAGATTCTGCTTCGAAACATAGTGTTTGAGGAATAATTTACTAACAGTTGGAGACCACGCCGATTTCTGAACATACAGACCACATCGTCCTGCAACCATCAGAGCCACTGATCCACCAAAACAAGAGATCTGAATCTCGGGCACCGACTGTGGACAAAAACCCACATCGTCAGTGAACGAGATCGCGCGTTCGCATTAGAGAACCATTCCACTGTCAGTGTGGTAGACTTATGCTTTACGACAGGGGAGGAAGGGAGGGAACAACACGCCGATCTCCTCGTTTCTCTTTTAAAAACTCGCCTGGCCTAAGTCCTATGCTATTCAGGATAGAAACCTTTACCACCCAAGAACTGAACTTAAACAGCAGCCGCCAAATCGACCACAGGCGTAATGGCGTAAGGTAACTCTGACGGCGCGTTGGCATACACTGTATTAGACTAAAGACAGGCCGCCTAATTACAATAACTTCGGGGGGTGCTCAAGGCGAATGTCTATCAGTCTCGCATGATTCATCATACCAACAGCACAGGTACTAGGTGATAGTTCGACCGCCGTTGCCGACGATGTCCACACCGTGTGCTTCACAGCGAGGCAAAGCAGGCACGGTGACTTGTGCGTGAATTAGTTTATAGTGAGAGTAGACTTGCACAGCTTCTACCGCACTCTCTCCTCCTTTTCCACTTGGGCCGGGGGTCAAGACAGAGTCAAGAAAACCGGAGGCGGGAGAGGATGCAGGTGGATGGCGAGTCCACACCTTGGCGCTCAACTCCACACCACTTGGTCAACACAGCAAATGACCAGGATTTTAACTAACAACAGTACCACAGCGGGTCAGAAAGGCGATGACTGGGCAGCCATGCTCACGACCTGTATAGCCCCTGCGGGAGCGCAAGCACATCGCTCTCGGCAGGGAACCAGGTATCAGTAAACTGCCAGCGCATACCAGGCTGTGAGGGTCATTGTTTGCTGATCCTGGCATAGCAGGCGCTTACAGACATTTAACAAATACTAGTTAAAAGCTCAGACAGGTGATTCGCCGATTTTCTGCCAATGTATAACACAGCTACGAGGGACTCGGCTCGTAAGAGGGCCGCCTAGCGTTCTTCAGGGGCTTTCTGGTACATTCCCCAGTTTTGAAATTTTCGGGCCGTTAAATCACCTAAGGAATAAATTAACTGCTATTTTCGCGGCACTTCGATCTCAGATTTCAAGAATAAGAAGACGAGGGGTGGGGAAGAGCAGGGGGAGGGGTAGGAGAGGAGGGGGAGGAGGAGGGGGTATAGGAGGAAGATGAAGAGGATTAGGAGGGGGAGGAGGAGGAGGAGGAGGAGGAGGAGGAGGAGTAAGAGAATGGCGACATGCAGTGTTGGGCATAGTCTGAAGTTATTTTTGGAGTCTGTTGACGTTGAGGGACGCGGAGGATCCAACACAGGCCAGAATTGAGGACGTGATGCTGTAACTTTCACGACGCCGTTAATCCAATGTTTCCCGGTGTCAACCCTAAATTAATCTAGGCTGAAGTCCGTAAGTGCCTTTGCATGCTTTCCCTGCTCTCACTACATTAATAAACGCAACGGCTTCTCTTGCTCTCTATTAAGTGATATGACTTTGTTTGAGACTAGGAAATAGTCTCTAAGGGAGCATGTGGATAAACAATGCTCCTACCGACGCCTTTGATGAGTCACATTGCCCAGTAAATAGTCCACTAGTCAAACAATCCATCATCGTATCAAGTGTGACCATCTGCGACAGATGCAGTAACTGCCAATTTTAGTAGTTGAGGCCTGACGAAGCAATCACATCCTACCATACATCCCACAAGTCTCCGACACACTGCCCATGTGTGCGCGCGTCAAAACCTCACGTGAGACAGCGTGAATGCGGGCTGGCATGCTATTCAGGCCTCTCGACACACTTTGGTCACCTAGCCAGAGTGATAAACTCTGACAGATGGTGCACCCCGCTGTCTCATAGTGCCCACGCTACCCGTCGGGTGTCAGTGCCTGGCTTACAAGTCATAGCCAATTAGACGGCTACAATGGAGACAGAAGCCTGGGCCTCGGATGAGAACTCGGTCAATCGATTTATCGATCTGGCGCAGGCGTGCAGAGCCCTGCGAGGTCACCTCCAGTCTTGCGCCGTCGGTCGATGACTGGCCTACATGCCTTATAACTGTCGCTTGTTCTGTTGCTGCCACTTCCTTTGATGATGGACGCCTGGACAATAAACAGTGTTCCGGTGCTTGACTCTTTTCCTACCTCACAGCAAACAGCACACAGCGATACCGGCGGGAGATGGAAATGCGACACACTGCAGACCAGATAAGAGGCATACTTTGGTCACCAAGTCTTTACTGACAAGAAGAGTAAACAATTTACAGTAGCGGAATAAACATGTTACTGACGTCTATCAAGACCGCGAATGTCAGCAAATGGCGAGATACGCGTGCAGTAGGTAGCACGCCTGGCCACAGACGCGGAGACTTGCGAGCGCCTTTCGATGCAGCACAGAAAGGCACTACTTTGAACGTAGGTGGATCCGTCTACTAACTTTCGGGAGTTAAAGCACCTCGAGAGTTAAACGAATTCAGTATTAACGACATCCTACTACGCGGGGCACTGCTCTCATCAGTAAATTTTTAGGTAATCTTCGTTTTAATCAGCATGCTATGCAAAATTAGACGTCAGCTTCTATATAGTGAAAAAATGAAATCAACTCTGAAAGGAACTCGCCGGCGATTTGCTTTAGTAGATGTTCCAACCGTTCTAGAGGGTGTTTGTTACCAAATCAGCATTCGCCTCAGTTAGAACTGAACTATTCCACTGTCTTAAGTCTGTTTATTTAAACCCTATACTTCTATGTTCGACTCGGGACAAAAAGTGCAGACTGCCTCGTGGTGGAATGTTTATTCGTCAGTAAAAAGAGTTTACTGAATTCGCCCGACTAAAACATAAATTCCCTGTCAGCGTGCTTGGACCGAAACTCCTGCATACGACTGAAAAATCAATTTATTTTTATTTCGCAGGGAACACTTATAAATACTAGATTCATCTGCAAGACACTGGGTTGTTTATATGGAAAATAAAAAGCACTAATGCGTCGGTTAAGGTGTACGCTCCGCTAATCTTTGCTAAATCATAAATGGTATTTGTTTAAAAAAAGATTTTGGACCATGTTTCGAAGCGAATAACGAGTGACGGACTTCCTACCTAGATGTCTCAACTCGGACTTTCGTGTGGCCTAACCCAGGATTTCGACCGGATCCCATAAAAGGCCTGTCAATACAAACTCCTCGTCGATGTAGAACATATAGCAGAAATACTGCCCTCGTTCCTTCCGTTCGATACCTTTATCTATTAGCGTCCCTGAGTTTGTATTGGAGACTAACGGCCCGAACACCAAGCGACTTCTGTTTGTGTTCCAGTGCGTGAACTGCCGTCGCAACGGCAACAATGCACTTATCAGGCTGTTTCTAGCATTGATTTTGCAGCGCCTTGTTGATCGATCGAGTCCGAGCTGTCGGACAGGTCAGGCGCGTTGGTGCCAGCACCGATAAAAGTACACAATCTTAGTCAGGGGGGGGGGTAAGAGCGAATAAGTTAAAGTCATGTGACGCGGGCGTCACGGGTTGTTTTGATCCAAAGAACGTCGCGATTGATTCGGGCCACGGTTTCGGGGATTTTGTCTCGGAGACACGCCCCATAGGACTTTTGTCTGAAAAACAAGACCACAATTGAGGGCATCGCTCTAATCAACATTGAACACATGCAAGTACATAAAACATGATTTGTTCTCCAATTGTGCAAGTTCAGGGGGGAGATGGGAGCTTGCTTTTGTCCAGTTAATTCACTAATATATGCAGTTGTTTAAGACGAGGCCAAAACACCTAAGCAACAAAAAAGGCTTTTTCTTCCATTAATTTTGATATTTATTAAATCTTGAGCTCATTGTTCAAGACGATATGGTATGGAGACAGATAGATGAATGTATAGCGAATTTGGAGGCACGCGTAGATACTGGCGACGGTTGCACGTCCAAATAAAGTTGATTGACATACTTCCGTGTGTTAGGATGTTAGAGGGCGCTCACCAATCGTTCATACGGAACTCACACTCTCCAGCCCAACCAGCAGCCGCACAGCGGCGCATGACATGTAGGCAGAATGATATTACCGACAAAGACAAGGGAGACTGGAATGGCCATTTCTGGCTTATTAGCCGTCGTCAGCCAGCCATACCCAAGCCCGAAGTGTGGAACACCCGAGCCTCGAACTCGCGACCTGTTGGTTTAGAAGTCAACGCCTCTACTCACCGGACCACGAGCCCGTTGCCTTGTCGGTTTTCGATGGGGAATATACAATGTTCCACACTTCGGGCTTGGGTATGGCTGGCTGGCGACGGCTAATAAGCCAGAAATGGCCATTCCAGTCTCCCTTGTCTTTGTCGGTAATATCATTCTGCCTATACTTGCGTGTTTCAAATTAAAGACATGGTCTTTGAAAATGCAGGTTATTATTACCTCCTCCTCCTCCTCCTCCTCCTCCTCCTCGCCCACTGCTCCAACGGCGGCCTCTCAGGCGACTGTCCCGCGCACAACACCCGACACTACCACCACCTCCCCCGACTCCAGGGATGAGGATCAGGACTACACCTGCCCTCACTGCGACCGTACGTTCACTTCACACATCGGCCTGGTCGGTCACTTGCGAATCCATCGCACAGAGACTGGCGACCCAGTGCCTGGAGCACCCACCTATACCCACCAAGCTCGTCTCAACTGCCCACACTGCCCTCGCACCTTCACGCATCGCATGGGTCTATTCGGCCACATGCGCATCCACGACGACCTGCGGTAGACAACCGCCGGTTACACCACACATCCACACACTCCCTACCTCCTCCACCACCACCACCACCATCACCCCACCAGAAATCAACACTCACACACCTCATGCACACAACTGCCACCTCCCACGCAAGTGGGAAGTCCGCATCTCGACTCGGTCCCCATGCGGCTTCGGCTGCACGGGTGACTTGAGTCCGAGACTATCCCGACACGTCAAGCGTCGTGGATAGGAAGGTTGCTGATTGACGCCCGCTCTCGGTTCACGCAGTTCGTCGCGTTGTGTGTGTGTGTGTGTTGTGTGGAGTGGCGGACTGGTGGGCTGGGGACGAGCTGAAACAGCACCTTTCACGGCCCTCTCACGCAAGTGAGAGACACGCCGTTCAACCCCCGTTGTGTGAAATCCTGGTGTTTGTGTGTGTATGGGGGGCCAGGTCGTGCCGTGGCGCGCGCAGTCATGGTCATTCGACCATGACAGCCACAACGCCCATTCCCCACTCCAGTCTGCTGACCGGCTCGGACAGCGGCTGGGGTGTGGGAGTGGGAAGGGAGAGTGAGGTCGACGACTCAGCGCACTTTCTCCTCACTATAAACAATCTGACGCGCTTGAAGCTATCACGGTGCGCTAAAAGCCGTGGCTTGGAAGGTTGCCAACTGACGGGGTAACTTGGACCTCCTCCTTGACCGGAGGCGGTCTGAGAGTCAGGCTGCAATGGCTCCTTTTTAATGTGGCCTTTATGGCACTCCGATCACAGTGTGGGATCCGAGCCAGGCTTTGGCGGCACGCCTAGGTGCGGCTTCGGCCGTGCCAGCCTCCAAATCTCTGTTGTGTTGGTTGAAATCCTGGTTATTTGTCGTGTGGACCAGGGGGTGTGGTGGAACGCCAAGGTGAGGATCCGTCCGAGCCATCCACCTGCGGCCTCTCTCGTCTCCGGTCTTCTTGACTCTGTCTTGACACCGGGCTTGGGCGAGGGAGGAGGAGAGAGTGTAGGTAGATGCTACGCAAGTCTACCGGCACTATAAACCCCTGCGTAAGTCACCGTCCCTGCTCCCATTGCTGCTGTAACTGTGGGGCACACGGTGGACATCATCGAAAACGATGGTCGAACTGTCACGTTCACCAATGTAGGCAGAACTTTGAAAATGGGCCCACAAAACAATGAAAGTTGTGAGATGTAATGTTTATTGTTTGCAGGACAAAACACGTTGGTTGTTTTCGATACTGTTCATGGTTTTGAGACTTTCGGGTGACTTTGAACGACGTCGCCCCTACTGAAACGTCTAACAAAATGTACATTTATCCTCTTGAAAATGACTGCCTAGATGTTCTGAGGTTGTCTGCTTATTTTTCGAAATTTAGTCTTTCGTGCTCATTCACCAAAAAACACTCAAGCGATCGCACTTTTAAACAGTCCCGACCATTCTAATTTGTAGCAGCTCTTTATATAACAGGTGTATGCAGATGTAGATGCAGCTGTCTAGCTCTAGACCTCCTCTCCCACTTGGGCCGGGTGTCAAGACAGAGTCAAGAAAACCGGAGGTGGAGGAGGGTGCAGGTGGATGGCGCGGCCGAGTCCACACCTTGGCGCTCAACTCAACACCACTTGGGCTATACAACAAATGACCGGGATTTTAACTAACAAGGGTACCACAACGGGTCAGAAAGACGATGACTGGGCAGCCATGCCCACGACCTGTATAGCCCCTGCGGGAGCGCAAGCACATCTCTGTCGGCAGGGAACCAGGTATCAGTAAACTGCCAGCGCATACCAGGCTGTGAGGGTCATTGTTTGCTGATCCTTGCATGACAGGCGCCTATAGACATTTAACAAATTCTAGTTGAAGACTCATACATGTGCTTCGCCGATTTTCTGTCAATGTATAGCACAGCTGCGAGGGACTCGGCTCATCAGTGGGCCGCCCAACGTTCTTCATGTGCTTTCTGTTACAGTCCCCAGTTTTGAAACTTTGGCCGTTAAATCTTTTCAGGAATTAATGTGCTGCTATTTTCACGGCACTTCCATCAGGGCTTTCAAGAATAAGAAGAAGAGAGATGGGGAAGAGCAGGAGGAGGAATAGGAGAGGAGGGGGGAGGAGGAGGAGGAGGAGGAGGGGGAGGAGTTAGAGAAAGGTTGGATGAAGCGCTGGACAAAGTTTGAAGTTGTTTTTTTGAGTGTGTTGACGTTGAGGGACGCGGTTAAAATTGTGGACGTGAGGACTTTCACGACGTCGTTCATCCAATGTTTTCCGGGGTCTACCCTAAATTGAACTAGGTTGAAGTCCGTAAGTGCCTTTACATGCTTTCACTGCTCTCACTACACTAACAAACGCAACAGCCTCTCTTGCTCTCTTTTAAGTGATACGACTTCGTTTGAGAATAGGAAATAGTCTCTAGGGTAGCATGTGGATAAACAACGCTCCTACCGACGCCTTTGATAAGTCACATCGCCCAGTAAATAGTCCACTAGTCAAACAATCCATCATCGTATCAAGTGTGACCATCTACGACTGATGTAGTGGTTGCCAATTTTAGTAGTTGAGGGCTGCCGAAGCACTCACACCCTACGATACATCCCACCAGTCTCCGTCACACTGCCCATGTGCGTGCGTGTCAAAACCTCACGTGAGACAGCGTGAATGCGGGCTGGCATGCTATTCAGGCCTCTCAACACATTTTGGTCCCTTAACCAGAGTGATAAACCTTGACAGATGGTGTACCCCAGTGTGTGATAGTGCCCATGCTATCCGTCGGGTGTCAGTGCCTGGCTTACAAGTCATAGCCAATCAGACGTCTACAATGGAGACAAAAGCCTGGGCCTCGGATGAGAACTCGGTCAATCGATTTATCGATCTAGAGCCGGCGTACAGAGCCCTGCGTAGTCACCTCCAGTCTTGCGCCGTCGGTCGATGACTGGCCTACATGCCTTATAACTGTCGCTTGTTCTGTTGCTGCCACTACCTCTGACGATGGACTCCTGTACGAGTCCGAAAGCTCAGGACAATAAACAGTGTTCCGACTACAATGGAGACAGAAAACAGCACACAGCGATACCGGCGGGAGCACGAAATGCGACACACTGCAGACCAGATAAGAGACATACTGTGGGGTCTGATCGGCAGTGAGTGATGTATTCCACCTGTAGGTCACTCGTCTTTACTGACAAAACAGTAAACAATTAACAGTAACCGAATAAACACGTTACTGACGTCTGTTAAGACCGTGAATGTCAGCAAATGGCGAGACACGCGTGCAGCAGGTGGCACGCCTGGCCACACAAGCGGAGCATGCGAGCGCCTTTCGGTGCACCACAAAAAGGCACTACTGTGGACGTAGGTGGATCAGTCTACTATCTTTCGGGCGTTGGAGCACCTAGAGGTTTAAGCGAATTCAGTCTTAACTGCATCCTACTACGCGGGACACTGCTCTCATCAGTAACTTTTTAGGCAATCTTCGCATCAATCGGCATGCTACGCAAAATTAGACGTCAGCTTCTATATAATGAAGAACGAGATAAAATCTGCAAGGCACTCGTCGGCGATTTGCTTTATTAGATGTTTTAACTGGTCTAAAGGGGTTTGTTACCAAATCAGTATTCTCCTTAGTTATGACTGAACTATTCCACTGTCCTAAGCCCGTTTTTTAAACCCTATACGTCTATGTTCGACTCGGGACAGAATAGTGCAGAATGCCTTCTGCTGGAATATTTATTCGTCGGTGAAACGAATCTACTGAATTCGTCCGAATAAAACATAAACCCCTGAATATATTTCCCTTTCCCTGTCAGCGTGCTAGGACCTAAACTCCTGCATACGACTGAAAAATCGATTTCTTTTTATTCCACAGAGGACACTTACAAATAATAGATTCATCCGCAAGACACTGGGCTGACCCGTAGTTTACATAGAAAGTAAAAAGCACTAATGCGTCGGTTAAGCGGTACGCTCCGCTAATATTTGCTAAATCATGTATGATATTTGTTTTCGAAAGATTTTAGACCATGTCTCGAAGCGAATTACGAGTGACGGACCTCTAACCTAGATGTCTTAACTCGGACTGTCATGTGGCCTAACCCAGGGTTTCGACCGGATCGCATAAAAAACCTGTCAATACAAACTCCTCGTCAATGTGGGACTTATAGCAAAAATACTGCCCACGATCCTTCCGTTCGCTACCTTAATCTATTATCGCCCCTGAGTATGTATTCGAGACTAACGGCCCGAACACCAAGCGACTTCTGTTTGTGTTCCAGTGCGTAAACTGCCGTTTCAACGGCAAAAATGCACTTATCAGGCTGTTTCTAGCATTGATTTTGCAGCGCATTGTTGATCGATCGAGTCCGAGTTGTCGGACAGGTCAGGCGCGTTGGTGCCCGCACCGATAAAAGTACACAATCTTAGTCAGGGGGGGGGGTAAGAGCGAATAAGTTAAAGTCATGTGACGCGGGCGTCACAGGTTGTTTTGATCCAAAGAACGTCGCGATTGGTTCGGTCAATGGTTTCGGGGATTTTGTCTCGGAGACACGCCCCACAGGACATGTCTGAACAACAAGACCACAATTGAGGGCATCGCTCTAATCATAACATTGAACACATGCAAGTACATAAAACGGGATTTGTTCTCCAATTGCGCAAGTTCAGGGGGGGATTGGAGCTTGCTTTTGTCCAATTAATTCACTGATAAATGGAGTTGTTCGAGAGGAGGCCAAAACACTTAGTCAACACAAAAAAGGCTTTTTCTTTCCATAATTTTGATATTATCAAATCTTGAAATCATCGTTCAAGACCATATGGTATGGAGACAGATAGATAAATGTATAGCGAATTTGGAGGCAGGCGTAGATACTGGCATCGGTTGCACGTCCAAATAAAGTCCATTGACATACTTCCGTGTTTCAAATTAAAGACATGGTCGTTGAAAATGCAGGTTATTATTACCTCCTCCTCCTCCTCCTCCTCATCCTCATCTTCATCCTCATCCTCCTTCTCCTTTTCCTCCTCCTCCTGCTATTAAAAGTTTACTTATCAAAAGAATCTTGGATCCAGTAATCATTTCTTGCATATGCAACGGAAAGTACTGACCACTCCTTCCTACCAGTATGGCCAGATGGTCCTATATGGGGACGTAAATTTCCTAACTTGTTTGATAATTTGTAAAGTGGAACATAGGTGTTTCAGTGCAATAAGTGAGTGCAATGAAAATGAAAAGACTCTCATACTTCCTGTAGCGCCTGTAAAACGTGTCACACCATTTGAGAGCAAGTGCATTAGGCAGTGTAGGCATACGCTTGACTGTCTTCCAAAGCAGAAGACTATTTCGACAGGTAAATGTGGAAGACGTTCCAAAACATATAATACATGTATTGCATAACTGGTCAGCAAAATACGCGATACGTATTCCACTCAGCAATACGTTTGAACGTTGTCCCAGTCAGTGTACAATGACAGTAGAGGGAAATGTAAACAGCGGCTTTTTCGTCGTTCTTCGGAATGCCGATGTCAAAAATATGCTAGGTTATTAGAGAGAAGAAGTTTTCCAGTGCGTGCGCTCAATTTCCTTGGATGGTGGTGGCTAGCGTCATTGTGAACATCCTGTATATATATGTTCACACCAAACACTGACATTCGTGCTTTTAATCAGTCAGCGAATCCTCACCCTGTTGAACACGTTTAAAATCACCTGGGTGGCAGATTTCGACAAATCGGAGAGCACCCTTATTCGTCAGATATGTCCAAAATCACCTAAATAGCGTGGCGAAACTGCAAGACACCCCGATAGGACAGCCCATTCTCAGTAAGTCAGAGGAAGTGGGAGGCATAACGTCACACATTGAAGGCCGCAGAAGCACAAAACTCACGGAAAATCAAGTATTCTTTGCGCTTTGAACAACGCCGTGTGTGTGTGTATATTCACGCCGTGACTTCGTAGTCAACGGAACGGTTGGAGTAGGCTGTCTTCGTGAATTTTCAAGTCGCTTACCCAAACCTGTCGTCAGGCTAAGTGAGTAATTAGAGGTGGGATCACTGCACTAAAGCATTTTGGACGCCCGCGGGAGGGTTGTGTGTAGCAAAAGGTGTCGAAGACGGGGTATTGGGAGTTCTATTGTTCCTCACCCTGTGTAGGGGAATGATGACTATTCAAACAGATCCCACATAACTGGATATGGATTAGCGTCTGTGGTTACAGGGGTGGCGTAGAGAATCGGTAAGTCATACAAGCAGCTTTTCATAGTGAGTGTCTAAGTCGACATGCACATCGATGCCGACTGTGTTGGATTACGAGGCCACGAGGAATTTTGGCGCCTATTTCGCCTTCGGCATGCCAGTCAGTTTAGTACGCTACACACTGAAGCGGTGGTCACACCTTAGGGTCCGCACAACCGCGAGAGACAATGGGTCATATAGGCAAAAGGCTAAATTTTGTTCGTTAATGTGGATCTAAAGTCATAGACTCGTATGGAAAACGTACATACAAGAATAAATGACATTAAGGACTCCGGAATGTGTGCGACGCAGATGCGAAGCCGGTTGAATCCAGAAGCTTCATGCATGCCGGGCAGGGAGTTAAATTTCCGCGGTATCATTCCTATGTGGGAGTTGAGGCCATAAAGATGTCTCCGGCGACTGAGTGAGCTTTGCCCAAAGTTTATCGAGCACATACTGGGACGGAACAACCCATAAAAAGGGTCCAGTTCCTTCATCAGCGGATTATAGCTGCCGCAGTGACAATAATCCGGATAGAAAGAGTTCGAACACAACTTCTTTTGTAAACTTAAGATGGTTGCTTTCATAGCTTATGATAAATTCGGCACAAGGGTCTTTCCAATGAACGTTTTGTGCCGAGTGGCCATCACTTAAGCATCCTACATACACATTCATAAATGGGTGGCTGTCTCCTGCTGTCTCCTAGTGAATAAATGCCATTGATAGCAAAATGCTATTGAGATTCCGACGCATTTGTCCGACTTCACAGTTCTTTATGATAATGAGGGTGTTGTCTGTGAAGTAGAATCACAAAGACTCCATTATGCTTAGACCCCGCAAACGTGGGTCTTCGTGAGGCTGGCCGACGACGGTCCATAAATCAGATACGGCGACCCAACTTTTGCTATTTTGTCAGTGTCCTTATAATACATATACGGCTAGATTGCAGTTGGTAGCCAGGCCCCGTATTACGGGTGGCGGGGTTTGTTTACTGGAGCTATTTTTGTGGGCTCCATGATCACATCTGACCGATTTGGCTTCCGTTTTACGTTTGAGGTTAGGATTAGGGTACGAGTTAATGGTTTTCCGATTTTGGGGGTTAGGATTATGCCTTTAGGCTTAGGTTTTCTGGTTACGGTTAGGGTTTGAGCGTATAATTAGGCTTCAGGATTACGGTTAGTTTTTTCAGTTACGGCTATGTCTAATGTTAGAGTTAGGGTAAGGGTTGCCGTTAGGGTTAACGGTTAACATTTAAGGTTGAGGTTGGGGTTAAGGTTAGGATTAGGGTTAAGGTCGCCGTCCGCTTCCCCATTCCTGGCACCAACTGCGATCTAGTCAAATATACATATATGCATAGGCAGAAGGAAATCACCGAAAAGGATAAGAGAAACAGGGACTTGGTTCTACGAGAGAGCCCCAATGCCCAGCGTGACGAGTGAGTACCATAACGCGATCCCTGAGCGCTTTTTTGCCTTTATATATATATATATATATAAGAAGAAGAGGCGATCTCGGGAACCATTGTTATATTGCCCTGACGTTTCAAAATCAAACAAGATTTCATCGTCGGAGGTGAGTTTAGTACCACGCCTCACAGTATTTATAGGTGGTGACGATCTTGTTACAACGGGTTT